TGGAGGCGACATATATCTGCGTGCGAAACTTGACAATATTTTAAACTCGTTTCGATTGACACTCCACTATTTCAGGGGACTTTCAGTAATAATAATTCTTTTTTTTATTGCGGTACAAGGATAATTCCTTTTTGAGAATTGCATCGGAACTGCTAATGTCGGCAAGATCGCTCTTTAAACATCGCTTACTAGTCGAACCAGATGCTTCGGGGTTTTCTAAATCTTTTTCCAAAGAATTTCTCATTCTCATTCTTTTGGCTGTTTCAGAATTCGGGGAAATAACAGGTTCATCAGTGTCTTTCGACTTTAGACTTTGTAATTCATTTTTAATTCTTTCTTCTGTGACTGGTTTGAAAAATTGTGTGCGGGGGTCTAAATAGGTGGATATGGCAAATAAATTATCATTTTCCAGGGATGAAAATTTCGAACAAAATTCTGTTTTCAAAGTCGTAGAAGCCGAATCGGAACAGAATATTGTGATTTGGCTAAAAAGTCTCCCAGTTTTTTTATAAGCATTTGAATTATTGGAATCACGGATGATATGAGGGTCTCAGAGCTTCTTAGTTCCCGTTTGGCTTCTTCAAAAGATTTTAATAGCTCAACACAAGATTCCATAATCTTCCACTCCTCTGGCAAAATTGGGACCATGTCACTGTCGGTCATGTAAAGACTCAACTCATCTTTTATCTTTAAAAATTGCTCGAACATATACAAGGAACTGTTCCATCGCGTGTTGCAGTCTTGGAACACGTTGAGTGCGGTTGATTCAGTCGGTCCTGAATTTTTTGCAGTTTTTTCCGAACGATCGTGGAATGGTTAAAATGAGTTGAAATTTTTTTGCGACTGTAAACAGCGTTGAATAGTAAGCTGCATCTTGTGGACTGTACAATCCATATCGTTTAATTCTGCTAATCGCATAGCTCTTTTCATGTTGGAGCCTTCGTCACGAATTATGCAATGCACTTGTTTTTTCTGATATTCCATTCAGTGAGCATTATGTCATACTTTTCGGTTATTATATCCCCGTGTGACGATCGTCAAAATTCTCACATTTCAATATAACTGAAGTTTTCCGATATTCCGTGGCAAGTCAGGCTAAGCTAAGAAGCATTCGAGCTTGGATCCGTCCAAATGTCACTAGTAAATGACATAGAATCAAATTTTTCATTCAGTTCTTGAACTTTGTCAGCAACTTTTCCATACAATTCCTTACATTTTGGCGCTATTTCTTGCATTAATCTCCTAAATCCTACACCCTTCACAAAATAAAATGGTAAATTTTGTAGTGCAATCATTTCTCCAATGAGTTTGTCAATTTTCTTCGAATTCGTATTGTTAGTGTCCCACTTTTTTTCTTTTTGAAATGCATCTTCCAAAGATAGTTGTGTTTTAGCTTTTTGCAACGGAGTGTCATTTTTATCTGAAAAAGCAATACATACTTATGTATACACAGTAAATAAACTTTATCCAAGGCATATTCATCATGTTGAAAAATAATAAATAAAATGACCTAAACTATATTTAGAATTGAATTAAATATACATATCATACGAAAACAGTTAAGACTAGTGTCAAAATAACAAAAACATGTAACAAAAATCCATTTGGGTTGGGGCCGTAAAGTTAAAGAGTTTGTGCTTCTCCCACCGATGAACGCAGACTAGAAGTTCCTTTCTAATTTAGTTTAATTTATAGACTTCCCTCCAATTTACGTAAAAAAATAGTATGCCTACTTAATCTGGGTTCTGTGTACAACTAAGTGATGACACGAATTAATCTTTTTCGAGAATAATAAATTCATTATGTTAAAACTTACCTGATTCATCTCTTTTTTTTTGCAACTGAATTTCGTTATCATCGCTTTCAACCAGACTAAACTGCTCCGGGTGCATTGATTTCAAATGATTCGTCAAAGACGAGGTTGTACGACCCTTGCGAGAATATATTTTATTACATATATTACACTTGGATTTCTCTCGATCATGCTCATCTAATTTAAAATAAGACCAAACTCCACTTTGCGTCAGTCGTGGCATTTTAGGTTGACTTGTCGAATAGGTAAAACACGGCAAACACCCAAACGCAAACGTAATTTTTTAAATCAGTGAAAAAAAACCGTCGCATCTAACAGAACTCCAAAGATAACAAGGCGAATTTATCAAGGTGGTGTTACCTGATCAGCCAATTTTATTTAATTTTTTTCTTTCGCCGTGATGGCTGTTATGTCAAACTTATGTATTTGTTTTGTTTACATTCCCCAAGCGATAAGTAAACAATAACCCATGCTAGAGAAAATAAAAAAAACGCGTTAAGTAACAACAAAGAAAATGGCAAAAAATTATTCTCAAAAACAACGGGATCTGAAATCAGTATGTGCCAGAAATAATAAAAATATTTATGCGAATCAATGCGCAAAAGAAAGTTTACGAAGAACCATATTTCGAACAATCGACTGTCTCACTTTCCTACTACCCGACAGGGACAATTGTGTGCACTCTTCTCCAAGCTGTTGCCCTCCATTAGATCGGGCTCATGACATACAAC